CTGCTACTACTGCTACTACTACTACTACTACTACTACTGCTACTACTACTACTACTACTACTACTACTACTGCTACTATGCTGTTGCTGCTGCTGCTGCTACTACTACTACTGCTGCTGCTACTACTACTACAACAAAATTGCATCTATACTATAATATAGCTATTACCCATGCTTGAAAGTAGGCTCTATGATCTTAACAAGCTAGTTTTATTTTCCCAACAGAACCACATGTTCGAAATCGTCAGCTGTTAAACTGTACTAATTATTAAGAAAAAGGGTTGAATAAAATAAAAATAACTGAAGAAGAAACGCTGTGAGAAGAAAAAGTGTTTCCGAAAGAGCATTGCAATATTGTAAGGACAGGTCTATGTGAAATCATAGCCCTTGCTTCATCGTCCCTTTTACGAGGGAAATAGAAAAGTGTTCTGGGAAAGATCAAGAAATACAACTTAACTTCTACGGATCCGAACGTAGACGAATCAGATTTGGGTATTGCTCTTTTCCAGTTCACACTAATATGCTTGGCCGATCTCAGCAAAACCTGATCTTCTGGACTGCTGTACATTACTTTTGCAAATATATACTCCTATTATATTTATGCACCAATTTATGGTGCGTTCAAAATCGCGAGGCGCAGCTCATTGTCAAATATATCTTCAACTCTCCAATTTTTGCACAATGACTTGTATCAATTTGTCTTACCAGATCAACACTTTCATAAACACCTGTTAGCTATATTCTAGAAAATTTCTTAATAAATACTAATAATACTACGAGGGTGGTTTCTACAGAGTTTTAAACGTTTACAGCTGGGGCAATATTGCTTTTTATAGCAAGTCCGCCATGTTTTTTAAATGGGGTTATTGTTCTCATTGAGCGCATGTTTTGAGAACTATTACTGTGCAAAAATGTGTTCACTACAAAGAGGTAATAAATAGAACTAGAGGTCTTAGCTGTGACGTCACGAGTGTCAAACTTGAGGTGCGGGCTGCCATTCCGGAGAGGAATAAAAGACTAGTCGGTGCACAGCAACACTTTTCTATCACGGAGTAATGATATTCTACGAAGTCTTTTGATGTTGATTTCTCTTTCATGTGATTTGCCTATCGCTAAGATGTGCCCATTGTGATTGTTTACCTTTAAATGAGCCTGACAATCTCTAAATAATACAAATAAGGCCTTTTACACGGTGTGACCATATGGGTGAGTACAATTAATGAATTAGATGGACCTGGTGATCTCTTTTTAAAACAGAAAAACATAATTTAATTGAAATCTTTTGCTGTGCGTCGCTCAAACAGTATGTCTAGATTTAGCACCGCTCACCACAACAAGGCGCTCGTATCGGCCCTCTGGAATCAGGAATGTGACTGAGAAGTTGTTAGAATCTTCATCTGCAACTCTAGCATACTTTCAAGGTTGGCTGAACGGAAAAGAACCACTGTCGATGTTGTTATGAGAGAATATAAAGTAACAAACCAGGCGCTGACGCTCATATGACTTTATGCAGTTTCGAGCGCCGTAAAACCTCTACTAAAACTAAAAACCAGGCGTAACTGCACACCAATAAGACCGGCGTAATATTCTGTCTCACTTGCGGAACCGATGCCAAACGGCATGTGCAACAGCAACAGGGGTTCATGGAAGATGGGGTGTTGTGTAGCCAAACACCATTGCCAATCAACGCCAGTTTTAGAAAGGATAAAACTGCTATTTATCTAAGTGCTCCATTTTAAAAAGTTGTCAGTATATCATTATCTGTTCCAATGATCTTTGGGTGTGGCCACAGGATAAATATAATGAGTGATGTACAGTATCCCTGCCTACAACTAAATACTCATTTTGAGACAATAACGAACTAATATACTAAATAATTCACCCATTCTTAACCCCCTTCATACTCTATGAAAACCCAGGCTTTGCGTCAGTTGAAGGAGAGAGTAGACAACATGGCATAAAAGCAATCCATTTTGTTAGTATGAAATCGTCCTTTTTCTTAACAAACTCAGTAATTCACTTTGTCTCCCTCCCCTCTTCCCCCACCCCACACGGGAAAAACAAACAATACCTCATATTATATCACTCCGTTCATTTGTAGCCCACATTTTGGTGCATTTATGTTTTCCACAATCGGTCAGCAGGGGCGGTATTGTGTATGAATGTTTATCACATGATTAAACAATAACAGCGGAAAAAAAAGACAACTTAAAATAAAACCGAACTAAGCTTCAAACTCCATGAAGACCAACGCGTTGCGAGGGACGCGCTGTTTCTAGTCCTCTCAAAAATGGCGACAAAGCGAGCTGAGTGGGCCCGCACAGCCATAGAGAGTTTACGTGGGTGACGTCACAGCTACCTCTAGTACCATTATAACTTTTTTGGTTCACTAAAACCAATTTCTTGTAACAAGTTTTGCCACTAAAAATTGTCTTTGATGAGCCGTGACGTAGGCTATATGCGTAATCAAAATGTGTGTGAGAAGCAGGA